AGAAACACATAGGAGAATATTTCATCCTCCAAATGACCTTTATAGGTGACCATTTAGGTGACAAGGGAATGACTAAGACATATAGTAACCTGAAATTACTAAAGCAGAAAAGTAGAATTAATCAAAAGAGTCAGCTCTTTTTTCTGCCTGATTCCCCTCCCCTCCCTACTCTCTTTCTTGCTGTTTGAATAATAAAGCTTTTTAAAAATCAGACCACATATGTTAATCAGTTCACCATTTCAATGATATCCATGTTATTACCCAGGAACGTTTATAAATGGCATCTATTAAGTTAATCCTCTCTGTCTGCACTTTTTGTATTTCAATTTTCTTTGACAATGGTTTACATTCTCTACTCATCCCCACCCAGCATGTCACTATAAATCCACAAAAGCTTATGCCAAAATAATTTTTTTCAGGCTTCAAGGCAGCACAAGAGTCTTTGTTTCTGTAATTAAATAGAATAATTTGCCTTAGCATATCTGAGTTTAAAATAGTAAAGTTTGGTGCACTTCGGATTCGCCAGGGTTTAGAAGGCACTTCATATGTGTAAGTATAGCAGATAGTACTGTCATACTTTGGCTGCTACATCAAGGACACAGTGTTCAGAGACCCAATTAACATTCTGCAAGGTAGGCAACTTGAAGATAGCACTGAGGTGAGCCAGGAGTTTCCACTGTACTTATTTTAGTTGTTATTAGATGAACATATCTTGATCTTGTAAATCAGTTTAAGAATACCTGCCACTGAACTGAGTTTCTAAAGCATTAAATCAGAGGTGGGGAACTGTTTCACCCCTTCTGTACAAGCTGGATGACACTATCACTTATCCTGAGGTTGTTGAGTCCTTGAGGTAACCCTGGAGCCATTGGACAGAAGTGAAGGAGACAGAATCAGAGAGCAAGTCAGAAGTCAGGGATAAAGTGCAGCCAAAGATTCAAGACCATAACAGAGTTCAGAAAGATCCTGCTGAGTCAGGGCTCAACTGGAACAGACAATTCTTACACTTCTTCCTGTCTAGAAGAATCCAAAACCAGCCTGATGCCACTGCTCACCACATGAGGCAGCTGTCCATGTGAAACCATTCTGGAGGAAAGCATGGCTGTCAGGAACCCTCAACAGGAACACTCCTGTTAGGGTGTGAAGATACACTGCAACATTTTGTTTCGGGTCCTACTTTTATTCTCTAAGGAAAATGTTTTCTGAATGGAATTGCAGTGGTTAGTGGTGACCACTAGGTGATGCTCCTGCAGCAAATAGTTAAGGAAAGACAGAAGAAGTGATAGGTGAGGTGGTTGTCAGATGCAAAAGCCAAATTATGGGCAAACAACCATTCACCATGTCAGTAAGGAAAGCCAAGTAAGAGATTGCGGTGAAATTTCTGTGGTCAGTGGCATTTTTTTCACATTATCATAGCAATTACTGCCACTTGTCTCTGTGACCATTTGGCTCACGCATTAGATTGGTTGTGCAAATGTGTACCCAAGGTTTGCCTATAAGCCAAGAAAAGTGTTTGTGCTGTGGATCAGCCATTAGTCAGGCCCATTGGGAGAAAATTTAGCAGTAGAGGAAGATGCAGCTGCTTCAGAATGTTGTAGTGAACAGAAGGAACATGCATTCAGATAAGGGTTGGATATTTATGATAGAATTCAGCATTCTTTCTTGTGTACAAGCTCTTGTGTGACCTACAGCTTTAATGCCCAACATGTAGGAACCACAGCTTGTAGGAACACTAGATTACTTTTTAAAATATAAAAATTCATGAAGGATTGAGCAACAAACACAGTCAATCACCTGGGTGATCTTGGGTTAATCCAGTCAGAGAGTTCAAAGACAGATTTTAGCTACCCTTACCACACTCTGGATTGTTTAGTTATCAAACAACCCAGAGTTACCTTAACAACAGACCATGGCTTTGTTGTTCGATAATCATGAACTGTTATGTGTGAAGTCATGGGCATGATAGAAACTTGGTGCAATGGAAAGAACCAAGAAGTCACACTTATCTCTATATTAAAAAAGGCAAGGAAAGGCCTAGGAGTTGTGTTACTTTGTATGTCAGAAGGGGCATAGTGTCAAACAAACTAGAAATCTTAAAGGGCAGACTCCTTCATAGACAAAGCCAGGCCCCAATACATCCCAGTATTTGGGATGTACTGTTGGCTATCTTGACAGGAACGCACGAGGTAATCTTGAGATGAAGGATGAAATCAGGGAGGCAATCAAATGAGAAGATGTTCTAGAAGAGGGTGACTTTACCTTCACATAACCTGGAGAAATGTGTTTCCATTTATGATAAAGAAGTAAAATTTCTAGATGCCCAAAATGACTTGGCTTTAGAACAGTTGGTTATAGAACCAACTAGAATGGAGGCAACACTATATTTAAATCTAGGTGGTATTGTCCAGGATGTAGTACAAGAATTGGAAACAAATAGAAACAGCAACCACAGTGCTATCAGATTTAATTAAGAAGGAAATTGTCAGGGATCTCCAAATGTGGATAGATGGGGAGTGTTAGGCATTCAGGATTACAGCCATTTCTAAACCTCCTTTCTGGAGCACCCTGATGTATGTTGGCTTCCACCATTTTGGCTATTCTCATTTCAACCAGTTTCCTTTTCATTTAAGTTAATTACTCATAGAGGCTATCTTGTAATTTAGGTTAAATGTATTTTACTCAACGTGTGGGTTAACACATAGCAGAAGATCTCACAGTGATGGATATATACTCTTTTAAATAAAAGGAAATTAAAATCAGTCACAAGCACAATTTTAGCAAAGACTGAAAGTAAAAACAACAACGTGTAGCACATTAGAATTTAAAATACAGGTCAGCAAGCACACACTCTAGCTTTATCCATTCATTTGCCAAAGCTACTTGGTACGGTGCAGAAGAGAAATGCAGGACTCCATTCTCTTTGGAAACATGTCAAAACCTGATGCGTTTTTGTCAGTTCCTTATGACATAGGCAGGGTTTTCATAATTTAATCTAAATAGATGGTATCATATTTTTTATTTGTCTGTACAACTAACTATGAAGGATAAGAAATGTCTACAGACAATAAGACAGCATAGCTTGTGTAATTGGAAGAGTGTCTTTTCTTTAGATAGTCAGTATATTAGAAATGGCAATTATTGGTACATGTGGGGAAAGAGGCTGTGGAACTTAAACTTTCTTTTTAAAAAGTTTTAGGATTTTTAACAGTCCAATCAAGTAACAAATTACATGGAGTGTTGTACCCACTCTAGTCAGCTGAGCACAAAAATTAGAATGTAATCCTCTTAGTGTCTAATTGAAATAAAGTTGTGCTCTGCTCAGTAGGTCTTAGTCCATACAGTAATTTTTTTTTCTTTGCCCAGTTCATATGTTAGCTCCTGAGGATCACTTAATACAATTCAAAGGTGATGAAGCTGCCATGGGGGAGCCTGTTGCAATGCTTTGCAGCATAGGTGGTGGTGGTGGTTGCCTCCTAGTTTAATTTTTTCTCTAAAATAAGCTCATGTAGAATTGTATGTTTTACATTGCATTAGGAGGGTGACAAAGAAACTCAGGAAGGCGACAAATGCAATAACTAAACATATACATTACATGCTAAAAACAAGCAATTGTTGATAATGAGTAAAATTATTATTAATAAACACTGGACCACATGTAATAAAGTGAGCTTAAAGGATTCAACCTCTTCCTGCAGATCCACTAGCAAATAAGGCAATAACTACAAAAGCGCATGTGAATCCCTGATCTGTATACTACTCTCTAAAATGGGGAGCGACACTGAGAGGGTAAAGATGTTGAAGCTTACTTGTCAATAAATTGTTCCCCACAAGAGGCCTGTTCACATAAGCAGTGAACTACCAGAGAAAAGGATGTCCCTAATGCAAAGCCAATGCTCTTCTTTTCTTCAGGAGAGCCTTGTTATATAGTTGCCTATAGGCTGCTAACACCTGCCTGTCTACCTGGAAGTTTGGGCAAAATTTTTAGAAGAGAATGGAATTTCTCAAAATGCTATGATCCATGCCTCATTCTGAAAGCCTAGTTCTGAACACCTATAGGTGGGATCCATGAGAAATGTACAGCCTGCCTTAAAGTAACAAGTCAGATTTGGATTATATACAGTGGCATGTTCCCTCCTTCTTTTTAATTTTCAAGTGGAGTAATCTCTGGTTAACATTCAGACAAAATCTGTCTCAAATTGTAAGACTGTGTCCCTAAAGCTGTTAGGGCAGGTTGGAGCAGAAGGATGCCCCCCCCCCCCACATCCATACTGCAGCTGTCTCTGCAATACCTTTATAAAAAGCATCTGACTCTTTAAACAGGCTAGTCTGTCTCACATGGCTTATCTCATGCCTTCAGCTTAAACAGCTTCTTAAGCAACTAGCAGATTTGTTGTTTGCTGTAGTAAGAGAGAGAGAGAAAGGAAGAAGGCAAGCGACTGTATGTTGTAATGTGGGAAAACATCAGTAGTTATGAAATTTTCCTGTAAAATCTCTATGCATGTTGAATGGATAGATCCTCCCCCCCCACCCTCCTGTTACTAAAGAATTGGGGGCAAAGTCTGAGAATTCAGTGCATGATGAAGTCTTCACTATGCCAGGTGGAACACACATGTTGAATGATATCCTCTCTTGTCGTCAGAGGAGAAAAAAGTTTTATACAATGTTCTGGTTGAAAGGGCTACCTAAAGAACAGTGGCAAGATGTTCAGCTTTAAAAAACAACCTGGAGAAATTATTAACCACAATTTATGATGTCAGAGTTGATCTGATTAAAGGTTTGTTTTCTTGCTGGCTGAGCTGTGTCCTGTAGAGACTGGTTCTCTCTTCTTCTTTTTTTTGTGTGTGTTTTTTTTTTTTAAGTTTCATTTCTGAACAGCAAACGGAGAACTGCTCGCATTGGTGCTGCTACTCCAGCTGCGTGTGTGTGTGTTGTAAAAAGGATGGTGTTTCTCTAGCTGCCACGCACAAAACAGCACATTTGACCATGAGGACTCTTCGCAGGTTGAAGTTCATGAGTTCGCCTAGCCTCAGTGATCTGGGTAAGAGAGAGCCGGCAGCCTTGGATGAGCGGGAGACCCAGCAGCGACGGGCCTGCTCCAACGCCACCTGGAACAGGTAGGACCTTGCATACCTCTTTCCCCCTCCCCTTTCCCTCCTGTTCACCAGGAATTTCCTCATAATAGCTAACATGACTAACACTGCTAGTTGCAGAACTGCCAAAGCCAAAACATAACACAGTTTGCATTTGTGATTTGATTTGATTTGTAAATACCTTCCGGCATTCATTCTTCTCCCATTCCATTTGTGTTGATATGAAGGTTATATTTTTTCTTATGCTATTTTAATTCTGTCTGGCAGTGACAGTTAAGAAGATGGATGAACTTTAAAAAAAAATCTTGCTGGCTCTTGTTTTTCCTTGCTGCTTTGATCTTTATGAAAGTAGGTGTTGTGCAGTCAAGCCCCAATATCAAAAATGGAGAAATATTGGAATAGTTTGCTTTTTGGAAAGAGAAAAATTGTTTTCTCTCCTGATGATTGTCAAAAACTAATATTAAATACTTTAACCGAATTGCTAAATATATTTTTAGCTAGAAATGTAATAGCTAGAGAGATTTGCTGAAGGAATTGTGTCATTTTTGCTATGACAGCAAAAAAATTGCCATACTTCTCTATGTTGTTAGCATGATTCTTAACATGGGGCTATGTATATTTGTCAAGAAGAAAGGGACAAGCAGATAGAATTAAGTAATAATTCTCTGTGCATTTAGAGAATGCTATGAGTGTGTATAATGAAACTTTAGTGTGCTTCCCCCACCGTTTTTGCAGTTGAAAATAGAGAAGTATGATTTCCTACTCTGCTCAAAACCCTCCCTCTCTTTGGCAGCTTTTCGTTGCTTGTATGAATTTTCATCTGATGTAGTTGAGATCAGCTTGGAAGTAAACTCCCTGTGGAATCCAGTGGCGTTCACACATGGAATCACGCATAATGGCTGTAATCTGAAGGATTCCCATACCACATTGGGATGGTACAGGATGTAGGAAAAAACAGGAAGTGCACTTGATTTCATGTCTGTTTCTCCTACTCCTGGCATATTGTAACATCTGAAAGCATCTTAGGAATGATTTTAACATTCCTGTCTTTATGTGGATTCTAACAAAATACATTTCTCCACAGTACTTGTCTGGTTGTTAGACCTCTAGAAGCCTGATGTGTCTGGGATGGTGTAGAGAGACTGTTCTTGTTTATGCCAACAAACCAGCGAATCAGTTTTCAAAAGTTGCCTCTCTCATACAGTGCAGTATTGAGGCTAGTGCTTTTTGCACGCTCCATCTGTGACATAAATCTGGCACATGTTCCATTGATAACATCTGATTTTTCCTTCAAATAATTCAATCTATTGGCTTATTATTTCTACTTCATAAAGATTTAGTAAAAATGTATTTTTATTTATCAATGTATTTGTAAACACTGGATTATTAAAGTTATAAATAGTGTGTGAACTCTGTGCAGAGCTCATATGTGTGGAAATTGTTTGCTTTGAGGACGATATAGGTTTTGATGAATGTCTTGTTCATCCTAGACCTATGATTCTGAAGCAAAAAACTGCAGATACCTACAGTATCTATCATTTGTTCATATACATTAAGACTTGTACCCCGCTCCCTTTTTATGGATCTCTTAAGACAGTCAATAATAAATAAAGCAACTTATTAAAAATACAATAAAATCATCAGCACGCATCTACTTCAGATCAAAAAACCAATCAGCAAAGTAGGAGACCATGAAAACAGTTATCTAGTGTTTTTTATTCATTCGTTTTCTGTATTACCCAATAGCTGAAGCTGTCTGGGTGGTTCCTGCACCTATAGTGATGCTGAAATGCATGATACAAGATCCTTGATCCAGGTGGACATAGCATACATGTCTCCTTGCACTAAAATCTTGCAGTATCTTGGAAAGGTTTGTGGTGTTTTCCTGTACTGTGTGTTTATGAACCATTGTAACTCTCCCAGAGAGTTATTGGGCAATATAGCAATGAAATAAATCATGATTCTGAAATGAATACGAATTCTATTTGAAACCACATTGTATTTTACAAATTTCTTATAGAAAAGCTCAAGATATTTAAGAAACCATAGCCTCTTTTGGATTCTGTCCTGTCCTTAAGATCAGCTTGATCTAAATCCTAGCAAGTGATATTTCATATCAACATACTTGGAAAAAACAGTCTTTTGGAAAAACACATTTCACTGCAGGTAGGTATGGTGTCATAAAGTTTCCACAGTGACTTTTTGAGGGAGATGGCTAGTGATTTAGCAGGTTGAACAAGAACCTTAGAAAGAGAGGGCTCAGTCTTCACTTGGCACTGCAGAACATCACGGCACAAAACACCATCTGTGAAAGAATTCCATGAGCTTGAACATTTCCTGCTTACCAGTGCTTAAAGCAAACACATTCCAAACTAAATCTTGTTATCACAAACTAACACAGATGGCTTTTAATAATCCTATATACTATTGCAAGGCTTTATGTTTTTGCTTTTGTCTTTGATTTCTTTATAGATATTGGATGATTTATCAATAACTAAATTGGCATGCCCAGATTTAATATGATATATTAATCCATGTCATACTATTTTTATTAATAAGTGTATTTGCTTCTACAGGCTTAGATTATCACCCTTGGAAGGCTTTCTGGACCTTGTTAGCATTGCCATTTACCTATCACCAAAAATGCACAGCTTTCCATTATGTTGATTGTTGCTATTAGCAGCTTCCTGCCATAGCTGTGCATGATAATTTACAGTATAACAACAGACAGTTGGGTTCCTGCTCCCCAGAGGTGACAAAACATAGTGGTGGGCAGCCATAGAGAAGGGGGAGAAAAATGAGAAGAGAGCAAGAATATGCATTTTGTTCAGTTACATGACTTTGGCTTAGTTTCGGTAAGGCTTAAGGCATTGTGTAGAAGGGGGAATTTGAAGAAAGAATGACAGGAGCAGTATCCACCACAAAGATTTTCTGAGAGGGAAATCCTGCCCCTTATGCCTTGAACTTCCAATCACAACTTGGTGTACTGATGTATTTAGCAAGGATGCTTTCTTGGTTAATGTGCACAGGTGTGATGGGCGTGCCTCTACTAAATGTCTGGGAGAGAGTGAGTGTTTCAAGCATGGGAAACTTAGCCAATTCCAGCTTCTGATGAAGAAAGGCAGAAAGGAAAGGCCTCTGGCTGGATAGGACATCAGTAAGAGAGAAGGGAAGTATTCCCACTAGTAGTGAAAATGTGGTTTTCCAACAGCACTTAATTAAGCCTAGTTCTTACAGTGTTGTCTGCACTGGATCATCTCAAAATGCATGTGAAGACTTGCATGACAGCATGGTCCCTCAACCTTAAAACAACTCTTAACAGAAAGCACAGTCATCAGAAAGGAAAGTTCTAAACTAACTTTCTCCTGGGCATGTATGTAAATTTTCTATTTTGAGGCTTTTTTTTTTTAAATGGAGACGAATTCAGTCCTATAAGCAACGATCTTTAGTCTGCAGAGGAATACTCTGATGGATGACTTGGTCAATTTCAATTCCATTCCAGCTTCATCAGTGTTCACTTATACATCCATTTCATTCCATTTTCTGTGGCTTAACAATCACTACCCCCACCACCACCTTAATTGAATTCCACATTTTAATTGCATTCTAAGATATGAATTCTTAATGCATTTCCCTCTAAAATGTGCATTTTTGTGTGAATTTTCAATCTGATAGATGCCTATCATTGTGGAGTTAACTAGATCTTAGTTGGTTTGGTAGGTTTGGTATTAAAATTAGGCTACCCTGCTTTCTGTGTGCAGGACATATGAATCACTGAATGAAGCTTATAGAATTTTGAGCATAACTTTGCTAGCATGTGAAATGAGTGCAATGGTGCAATAGTTCAAACATTCTTTGGCATTGCCCTTCTTTGGAATTGGAATGTAAACTGACCTTTTCCAATCCTGTGGCCACTGCCGAGTTTTCCAAATTTCCAAATTGAATGTAGCACTTTTACTGCATTGTCTTTTAGGATTTTGACTAGCTCAGCTGGAATACTGTCTCCTCTGCTAGCTTTGTTGTTGCTCAGACTTCTTAAGGCCCATTTGATTTCACATTCCAGGATGTCTGGCTTGAGGTCAGCAACCACCCCATCATGGTTATCAGGGACTTTAAGCTCTTTCTTGTATAGTTCCTCTGTGTAATCTTGCCACCTCTTCTTAATCTCTTCTGCCTCTGTTAGGTCCCTGCCATTTGGTCCTTTATCATGCCCATCTTTGCATGAAACATTTCCTTCATATCTCAAATTTTCTTGAAGAGATCTCTAGTCTTCCCTATTCTATGGTTTTCTTCTATTTCTTTGCACTGTTCATTGAAGAAGGCATTCTCATCTCTTCTAGCTATTCTTTGGAATTCTGCATTCAATTGAGTGTATCTTTCTCTTTCTTCCTTGTCTTTCGCTTCCCTTCTTTCCTCAGCTATTTGTAAAGCTTCCTCAGACCGCCATTTTGCTTTCTTGCATTTCTTTTTCTTTGGGATGGTTTTAGTTGCTACCTCTTGTACAATGTTGCAAACCTCCGTCCATAGCTCTTCAGGCACTCTGTCTATCAGACCTAATTCCTTAAATCTATTTGTCACCTCTACTGTATATTCATCAGGGATATGATTTAGGTCATACCTGAGTGGCCTAGTGCTTTTCCCTACTTCCTTTAATTTAAGCCTAAATTTTGCAACAAGAAGCTCCTGATCTGAGCCAGTCAGCTCCTGGTCTTGTTTTTACCGACTGTATAGAGCTTCTCCATCTTTGGGTGCAGAACACATAGATTTCTGTGTTGACCGTCTGGTGATTTCCATGTGTAGAGTCATCTCTTGGGTTGATGGAAAAGAGTGTTTGCCATGACCAGTGTATTCTCTTGACAAAATTCTGCCAGCCTTTGCCCTGCTTCATTTTGTATTCCAAGGCCAAACTTGCCTGTTATTCCACTTATCTTTTGGCTTCCTACTGTAGCATTCCAATCCCCCATGATGATAAAGACATCATTTTTTGGTGTTATTTCTAGAAGGTGTTGTAGGCCTTCATAGAA